ACCTAAATAATAACAGTGCAATGCTATGCATAATTATCAGAAGGAAGTCTCATTTGATGCCATCCTACACACTTCTGGGCAAGTACCATGTGCCTTTTTTCTTACTTGCCATGCATAGGATTGACTTGTTCATTATGAAACTGGGGTGATCTCTCAACACTTTGGGACATTAACTTTTATTCTGCTGTGTACGCTGTGCTGGAAGTTAGAAGGAATGGGACAAGTAAGATTTGGGATTAGAAAGGAGCGTGAAGTAGGATTGGGCATTAGGATCATGAGCAGGGAAAGGGATTTGTGGTTGGGATAGGGAAAGTGGAAGGTGTGGGCTTGGTAATTTTAGCTTTATCCCAGGCTTTTGAAATAATTTGGAAACTCTGCTAATCCTCAGAAAGAAAGCTTAGATTTTTCTAGGTGTCTTACCAAAAGATGAAGTTACACATTTAAAGGTTTCTTGCAAAATTGCTGTAGAGACATGAGCTGCTTTAGGACATCAGGCAGGGGTTACAAAAGATCAGAAAGACTTTCAAACAATATAAAGTACATGCAATTCAGCCTGCTCCATGCATTTCAAACTCTTTGTGACTGACTGATTATCACTACAGGTGATCATTGCAGAAGATTATCACTACAGAAATGAGAAAAAGCAACTATGAGGCACTGATCAGTTTAACTTGGTATGATCAAGGGATGCTTCACAGGAGAAAATTGTGATCATGTGGCTGCATGCAAGTCAATGGAATATGAGCCTTCCCTAAGGAACTGAGCACTGAATCTAGGCTGGGAGGGGTATGGGAGCGGTATTTCTGTCCAAAAAACCAAGTTAGTCCTTGGCAGAAAGTAACCAGATAGGGTGGAGTACTGGTGGTAATAACTTCTACTATAACAATTCAACTACCCCAAGTTTCAAACTACACAAAGGTGTTTCAGGTTTATTTATGGAGTTATTTAGGAAATGTAGGAGAGGATGCTATGAAGTTGATCACAGAAAGGGCATTGTTGAATGCAAAGGCATTGCATTGTTTCATGCTTACCGTGCACACTATTTTTGTGATCCAATTGCACTCACCCATTTGAATCCTCCTATTTATCCTCTTTTTATTGCCCCCTTACTGGAAACATGTCATTGCCCTCCTCCCCACTGCTACAATCCATGTCAGAGATCCCAGCACAAATTACATATCCCTAAAAAACCCTGGATAATAACTCTGGGCTACACTGCTGGGTTGTTATGCACCATTCTCACAATCCTTTCCAGAACTAATAGTAGACTATTCTGCAGGGCTGACACAATCTGAACTGTTTCAGATGCATCACCTCCCCCTTGCCTTCCAATTAATCATTGACTTTATTTGTGTTGGCATAGTAATTTGTTTAGAAGCTCAGAAATATTATAGTTATGATTATTTGCATGAAATATGAACTGAGCTGGAAGGGGCATGACCTCTGCTGCTTTGTTTTAAAGCAAGCATGCAACTGTCCCATCAAAGCAACACTAAAATTCTTAATTGTTTAATTATTTTTTATGGCTAGTAATCACTTCTCCACCAGGAAAGAAAGCAATGGAAAGCAGCAACCCATCATAATGACTTGCCATGAAGGGCTGGTTGTTTGCCAAAGCATCCAAGAAGCACACAACAAGAGACGGGTAAGCTGGCTGACACGCTGGGTATTGATCAAAAGTAAATTATAAAAACTGGCTCTGCTTCATGGCTGCAAGAGAGCGGGGCTTGTTCTACTTCCTAAATTCTGCTTCATGAATCAAGGCAAACGGCCACATGGACTCCAAGGAGGGATGCAAGAGAAATCCATTTCAGTTCATTTTGGATCAGGTTTTACACCGTTTGCACTTTCTAGACTGAACACATACTCAGACCAATCTTCAGTTAAAATTTGTACATTTCCAAGCTCTCAATGTGGTCTGCCAACCCAAAATGCATCTGACAGCCTGTGTACATTACAAAATGCTTAATAAAAGGTATGTACTTTTGAAATACATGCACAAAAATGCTTGATTTAATAGGAAAAGACTTACATTCCAAAAATGCACATAACTAATACTTACACTTAGAAAAATATGCATGGACATTCAGATGGGTTTTCACTTTTAAAAAAGCTTATGATCTGATACAAAGCCATGTGATAATACTGTTCAAGAAGAAATTCAGAAGATTTCAGCCAGTTCAGGTTTTACTGATTTGTACCTCCCTAACTTGGGGTGCTTCTGTGGGAAAACCAGGGTTTTCCCCACAGAACACTGCCTCAATATTTCAAGCATCAAAACAAAGCAAAGCAAAACCAAAGCAAAACAAAACAAACCAATTTAGGGATACAGGGACTGTGAAAAAGAAAACATACTGGCAGAATACACAAGGAGAACATTCAGCTGTGCCATAACAGTCAATCTGCAGTAAAAATGTGTGTGTGCACACAGCAAGATGAATGACTTCCCCAACTCATCTATTGCTGACTCATTCTTTTCTAAACCAGCATCTTGCAAAGCAAACAGGCAAAGGCAAGATGTCTTGAATTTTTCATGTGAATAGTGAATCATAGCACTGTGAACTTGCCCTTCTTTCTAGGTAAATTAATTTAAAGAATTAAGCATCAGAGTGCAGAACCATACCCCTGAAGACTGATTGGGGATTCAAGGAAGAGTGCATCTCTCCTGCTTTGTCTCTTTTAAATACACTTGCCTCTTTTCATGACTCTCACTATGAATCTTGCTAATAAATGAGTGTAATATGCCATTTCCATGTGATTTTAAATGTTTCATTTTTTTAACACTCATCCACTCTGAGCATTTATTGTTTTACTGATACTAGGACTTAAAAAGGACCCCCCCCCCCAAACAGTCATGAAATACAAGAACCTGCCATTAGAGAGCAGAGTTCTTTCAAAAAATACCTTTCTCATAGGATTGAATGGTTTGATTCTTAGCTCTGCTGTCTGTCAACTTGACAAATAGCATCACTAGGAAGAAGCAACCCAGTCTTGAAGTGGCATGCCCAGGAGTCATTGTTTGAAATGTTTCTTTCCTAAGGGCAACAGAGCCTTGAGGAAGAAAAGTGAATAAAGAGACTGTTTGTAATACAGGTGGGCCAGTGCAGAGGTAATGGCTCATGCTAACCACTCCGTGATAGGTACATTTATTCTATCAAAGATGTTCCCACGTTATTATCTGCAAACCACTAAAGCACAGCCTTTGCAAAAAGGGCAGAGGTGAGCAAAATAAAATAAAATCTTTAGAACCTCGACAACAAAAAGAAAAAGCAAGCAGCCACTACAATCTCCACATGCATTCATTAAAAAGTGAAACACTTCCAGGGCTAAATAATTGTAATGTCCATAAAAGAGCCTGTTTTGTTTCAGCAAAGTGATCATAAAATGGAACGGGAAGCATTACAGTACACAATGTCTTTATGCAGGCTCTCAGTTTGACCCCAGTAATGAATATGTATTCAGAGGAATATAGAAGTATAAACAGTGATAGAAACCTTAATTGAGAAATTCAACCACCTCTCTGTTTGGTTACTTTACCACAGTTGCATCATAGGCTTAACCCACATAGGCCTTGTGTTTTCCCACTTAGTGCAAGCTTTCAATAGTATGTTTAAAAGGGCAATCAGTAATCTGTTTCTTATTCCTCCATAACCTTAGCTCTTCTTATTGACTTCTGTTCACAATGACCTCCTGCTATAGTACTTTCTCTGACTCACTTAAGCTCTGGGGCAGCAAGAGTCCTTGAATCTATGCTCCCCATGTAGTAAAGCAGAAATCCTAGCAACTCAGCCTCATTCAACAGCTTCATCATTTGCCAGATGATTTGACAGGAATCCTCATTCCAGAGACTCACACATCTCAGTTAATTTTTTTATAGGTCTCATACAGGGGAGGATAACTCCAGACTTCACACTTTATTGCACCTCTCACTGAGCATCCCAAACAAAGACACTTTAAGCGAGGGCTGAGAGCAATATGACTTTCACATCCCAACCTGAATTTGACTCCTTGCTTGAGACAGTGGTGACCCCAGCAGGAATATCAACTGAGTATGTATCACACCGAACCTAGATTTTAAAGTTGTAGGGTTCCTTACCACTTGATCTCTCTCTTGTCTCCTCTACTTCTCTTCTATCTGCAAAGTGTGTTATGCATGATATGAGCAAAAGAAGCAAACATTTACCATCAGCAGGCTCTTTTCCATCAAGAATATGGTGGTGAGTAACACCTCTGCACAACTCGTTCTGCACACATCACAGTTACACAACATCCCTAGCCAGCACAGCCACGACTCTGAGTTCAGTTTGTTGTTGGTTTGTTGCCATCAGGTGTATTTATGTATCACAACAAGCCAGAATTCAACAATTTATAGCATGGGTTAATGCAATTCAGGACATAATCCACATTTTATAAATGGGTTTAATAAGCACTCAGACCATGTGATCATTTTGAGAAGACACAGTTTATGAGAATAGGGGAGTGACTAAAAAGCTGGGAAGATGTGGATTCAAAGATGTGTTCACCCATCATGTATATATTTCACATATCTCTTCTAAAAGAACTCAAGGTTGTTGACCCAAAGTGTATGCCACAAAATTGGACTCAGCTTGCTGAAGGAATTTTGTCTCCTTCTGTAAGTTTCAGGGAGAAGAATGAAGGAGCATTTGATCCTTGGAGGCCAACGGAGAGGGCTTGTTGTTTCTACCTCAGTAGGTACATTTACTAATTTAATTTGTTCAGCCCTTTTTCCAGGAATTCATGGCAGCAGACTTGGTTATCCTGATTTACCCTCATAACAGCCCTGTGAAGATAGTTATGCTGAAGGAGATTGTGATTGTTCCAGAATTATCCAGTGAGATTTGTGGCTTGAACAGCAATTTGAATCAAGGTCTTCTTGGTCCAATATTCTATTTGTACACTGTCTATTTGGTACATAAGTAAAGGAAAAGATCAAGGCTATACAGAGGAAAGAAAAATGCGTCATTATGTAGTGTAGTTACCTGTCATGTCACAGTGAACTTTCAAAGGTCCTAATGGGCCACTGCCATCTGGATCTATCCAGTAGAAACCGGTTGCTTTGCCCAAATGTTTGTAGGCTTCACAGGAGAGTTCATAAAGAGCTGAAACAAACAAAAACAGTAACTCAAGTAAATGAAGCACACTGAGAGAACTAGAAATGTTACATTCTTAAGAAAGGTATAATATGGCACAAAAAGAAGGCAAAGAGGACCATTGAAAAGTCTTGTGAATATTATACAGAATGTAGTAAGTGGAGTGAAGGTATTAATTTGTGTATGTATGTTTTGCCTTCAGATTTAAGAAACGGCAGAGATTAAACAAAATATTAAAGAGATTCAGCATTTGGAAACATTTTGGGGTGAAATATGTAGACACTTTTATCGAAAGATAGATAATGTAAACACCCAGGCAAAGGGTAAATATTCCCTTTGTTGTATTCTTTTTAGAGCAAAAATTTTCCAACTGGGGAATCTAGCAGTCCCATAGATGATCATGAGCACTTAATGGTGAGCTTTCCCACCACTTCCAAATTCCTCTTGCTATACACAGCCACAACAGTATGATTCAACAGTATGCTCTTACATAATTCAGATTGGCACTATATTATAGGGTAACACTGATACTCCATAGGCTTACCCAGCTCCTGGTTTTGGGCAGACAAGCCAATGCAGTGTGTTCCCTGCAAGAAATGTGTTTAAAATCACTGCTTAAAAGTGAGCATTTGTTTAACATTCCCAAAAAACCCACTTTTGCCTCTGGAAGGACTCTTTCTGTACAAGCTCATCAGTTATTGAGTTCTGCATGACAAAGTTTGGCAGACAACTACCCAGAAATACCCCTGCGCTGCACTTGTGGTGGTGATGGTGGGATCAGCCCTATTTTCCCTCTTCATGCCCTCTTCCATCCTCATGTTCACTCTCCATTCTCTCTTGCTGCTTGCAAAATGCATGTCCTGTTTGATGAAAGGGAACTGTAGAATGGGAGGGGTGGGGGAGCAGAGGATGGTGCATCTTCCTTCTAGAGTTGCAGGATTAAGGAACTGGGATTGTTTTGACATGCAGCTTAACAATTCTGTGTGACAGTCTTCCCCAGTCTGGTGCTCTCCAATCATTTTACACCCATCCCTCCCAGGATTGCTGACCAATGCTCTTGGTGGCTGAGGCTGAAGGGAACAAAAGTCCAGGATGAGGAAAGCTGTTTTCTTGGTTCACAGTAGACAGCTCCATTATAGAAAAGGGAAGCCTGACCTGGAGTCTTTTGATTGTGCAAATCAGAGGAGGAGAACCTCAGCTGCCGAGGTCAAAACTAGCACACCTGAGTTTCCCAGACTGTCATGCCCTCCTAAAGCTTTGTTGCTAGTCACGAAGCCATGCCCAACCCATTGCAACCCCATAGACAACATTCCCCCAGGCTCTCCTGTCCTCCACCATCCCCCGGAGTCCACTTAAGCTCACGCTGACTGCTTCAATGACTCCATCTAGTCACCTCATTCTCTGCCGCCCCCTTCTTCTTTTGCCCTCAACTGTTCCCAGCATTAGGGTCTTCTTCAGTGAGTCCTTCCTTCTCATTAGGTGGCCAAAGTATTTGAGTTTCATCTTCACTATTTATTTATTTATTTATTATTTATTAAAACATTTTTATGCCGCCCCATTCGCCGAAGCCTCGGGGCGGCTTACAACAAAAAATTTAAAATAACATTTTAAAATATATACAATAAAATACAAATATACACTATAAAACAAGCCGCCCTGGCCAAATAAAATTCAATAATATTAACATTTAAAATACTGCTTAAATAAAAAGGTCTTCGCCTGGCGCCGAAAAACAAATAACGACGGCGCCAGGCGGACCTCTCTGGGGAGCGCATTCTATAACTTAGGCGCCACCGCTGAGAAAGCCCTCCTCCAAGTAACCACCCTCCTAACTTCTTCCATGGAGGGCTCCCGGAGAAGGGCCTCTCCCGCCGATCTCAGGGGGATCTCTGGCCTTCTAAAGAGCAGTCAGGGTTGATCGCCTCTAAGACTGACTGGTTGGATCTCCTTGCAGTCCAAGGGACTCACAGGCATCTTTTCCACCACCACAATTCGAAGGCCTCAATTCTTCGGCGCTCAGCCTTCCTTATGGTCCAGCTTTCACAGCCATACATTGCAACTGGGAAGACCATAGCCTTGACTACACACACTTTTGTTAGCAGAGTGATGTCTCTGCTTTTTAGTATGCTGTCTAGATTTGCCATAGCTTTCCTCCCTAGGAGCAAGTGTCTTTTAATTTCTTGGCTGCAGTCCCCGTCTGTGGTGATCTTGGAGCCCAGGAAAATAAAAACTGTCACTATCTCCATTTCTTCCCCATCTATTTGCCAGGAAGTGAGAGGACCGGATAGCATAATCTTAGTTTTCTTAATGTTGAGTTTCAAGCCAACTTTTGCGCTCTCCTCCTTCACCCGCATCAAGAGGCTCTTTAGTTCCTTTTCACTTTCTGCCATGAGAGTGGTATCATCTGCATATCTGAGGTTGTTGATATTTCTCCCAGCAGTCTTAATGCCAACTGGTGATTCATCTAGCCCCATCTTTTTCATGATCTATATACAGGGCTATATACTGTCGCCCTGCCTATTTAACTCATGTGCTCTGCAGATGAGTTAAATAGGCAGGGCAACAGTATATAGCCTTGCCAAACTCCTTTCTCAATTTTGAACCAATCAGTGGTTCCGTGTCCAGTTCTCACTGCTGCTTCTTGACCCGCATATAGGTTTTTCAAGGGACAAATAAGATGGTCTGGCACTCACATCTCTTTAAGAACTTGCCACAATTTGTTGTGATCCACACAATCAAAGGCTTTAGCTTAGTCTATGAAACAGAAGTAGATGTTTTTCTGGAACTCCCTAGCTTTCTCCATGATCCAGCTTATGTTGGCAATTTGATCTCTAGTTCCTCTGCCTCTTCGAAACCCTGCCTGTACTTCTGGTAGTTCTCAGTCCACATACTGCTGGAGCCTAGCTTATAGGATTTTGAGCATAACTTAGCTAGCATGTGAAATGAGTGCAATGGTGTGGTAGTTTGAACAATCTTTGGCATTGCCCTTCTTTGGAATTGGAATTGTTTTCCACATTTAAAATATCATGAAAGTTGAAGATATTATGATAAAGGAATCCTTGTCCCTGGTGTATGCACACATTTACTTTCTTATACTGTTGTCCTGGTGTAATAATTTTTAAATGTTTTTGAAACTTTTCAAAAAACAGAAAAACCTGATTAGAAGAGATAATAGATAAATAAGTGCTAACCCCACAAGCACTAGTAGCTGCTTCATAACTCCACATAGGGCCGTCTTAACGCATGGGCCTGATGGGCACTTGTCTGTGGGCCCCATACTAATCTGTGTATGTTAACCCTTGGAAAATTGGAAAACTTCCAAAATTAACAGTAGTTGTAGTTGTTGTAGGGGCCCCAGTACACTGCTTTGCATAGTGCTGTTATAATGCTTGTGGAGTCAGGGCCCATAATGCTGTTAAGACAGCCCTGACTCCACAAGCAAAGATGGATTCATTCATCTCCAGGCTAATGCACATATGTGGAGAAAGTGTAACAAGTAGAGCAGAGACTCATTTGTGTGGTCTCAGGAGTACCAATGTGAACCCCAGGGATCTTTATGAGGCCTTCACATTATGAGTAAACACATTACCTTTTTTCTTGTATAAGCAGAAACAGAGACTTTTCCCCCTGCATCTTTCAAATTTGCACTAGTGCTATCTGTGATTGCATGCTAAGAAATCCTGATAGTTCAAGAGGAAAAGGAGAGAAGAAAAATGCAGATGGGAAAGAAAATCCCCTGTGGGAAATTATTTGAGCAATTCTGTAACATTGTTTTGTATGTTGTATATCCTGCTCTTTCTGAATATTCAGCATGTCTCTTCCCCTGAACCAGTTTATATGATATGTACAAATAAAATGTATAGTGCAGTGAAATTAAGAAGCTGTATATTAATTACCGGGAGGAGGAGGCCCATTGCAGAAAGATTCTTCTCAAGGCTAAGGCTGATTACGAGCTGAGACTTGCCAAGAATATCAAAAGCAACAAAAAGGGCCTCTATCAGCATTTAAATAGGAAGAGGAAGGGGAGACAAGTGGTGGGACCACTAAATAAGGAGATCCAGTGACTGATATGAGGGAACAGGCACAGATGTTAAATGCCTATTTTGCCTCTGTGTTCTCCCCAAAGCTGGACCGGGGAGATCCGCATAGATTAGATGAAGCCAGGGACTTAGGGGCACAGATTAGAGTCACCCCCATAGAATTTGAGGGGCTCCTCAGGGCATTGGACATTACAAAGGCGCCAGGCCCTGACAGGTTACACCTGAGAGTACTTAGAGAGTTGGCAGGGGATCTCTCACGCCCGCTGGCCTCCATTTTTGAGGCCTCATGGAGAATGGGTGAAGTTCCAGAGGACTGGAGGGTGGCATCAGTGGTCCCAATTTTCAAAAAGGGTAGTAGAAGGGACATGGGTAATTACAGACCTGTTAGCCTTACGTCCATTGTAGGAAAAAAAGGCTCATAATAGAGAGAGATCTAGAGATGCTAGATACAGAAGGGAGGCTGGCAGTGTGATGCAGTGGTCAAGAGGGCGAACGCCACCCTTGGTTGCATAGCCAGAAGTGTGGCTTCTAGATCGAGAGAGGTATTACTACCACTCTATATGACTCTGGCGCACCCACAACTGGAGTATTGTGCTCAGTTTTGGGCCGCTCATTACAGAAAGGATATAGCCAGGTTAGAGTCGGTGCAGCGTAGGGCCAAAAGGCTGGTGGCCGGTATGCAGGGGATGGGCTATGACTTGAGACTGAGGGAACTGGGTCTCTTCAGCCTGGAGAAAAAGAGACTCAGGGGGAATATGTTGGCGACATACAGGGGATGTCACATGGAGGTGGGTAGAGACCTGTTCTCCCCTGCAGAGAAAGGCAGGATGCGCTCCAACGGAGCAAAGCTCAGGGAACCAAGGTTCCATTTAGATGCCAGGAAGCACTTCCTGACAGTTTGGACCCTGAGGGTGTGGAATGGGCTTCCATGAGAGGTCGTTGAGGCCCCATCAGTGAGGGTGTTCAAAG